TCCCACTTCACACCAGTGAAATCTCTGTACATTCAGACACTTCTAGAATATATAATAGTGAGTAGATACCCACAGTGCTTTGAAACCAGAGCGTTCTCTTTATCTCAGTTTTGTTCTTTAGTTTGTATTTCCACAAAATTCTCCTAGAATCATTTTTTACTAAGATCGTTTTTAAAGTTGTAATCATTCGGAGCACTGCAATCTTGTATCCTCCTCCCACTTACTATTCTATCAGAAGCACTTTTTCATCTTAGCAACCTGTATAACCCAACATTTTCACAACTGCACATATGATTTCACCAAGCAGATTCACCACATTCTGCTCAAACACTACCCTATTGCTGGAAATGGACATCATTTCCAAAGTTTCACTACTATAAATAATGCCCCCAACTGGCCCTTTTCTAGATCTCCATAGGGCAGACATGACAGCACTCTCCCAGTAAACTTGAAATCTCTTCTTCATTCCCTAGTATTTGCTTTTTTTGCTGTTGCTATCAGACAGGTCTAATTTTTCATTATTGACCGTATATATGAGTGCTACTGATGTTAGATTTACTTAGTACATAGTCACACTATTGATCTAATTAATTCTACTAAATTTTAAGTTGGAAATCTTAGGTTGCCTAGATACACAATGACATCATCTACAATTAATGATCATTTTATTTTTGCTGTCCATATTTTGGTTCAGTTTTTATTGCACTGGTCAGAGCTTTGCAAACAGAAAAATAGTGGTGACAGAGACAGTTAAGCCAACTGTTTAGGTTGTTGTTTTGACTGAGATGTCATCTTGTTAATGCACTATTATTCCAAGTCAGGCTTTTAGATTTTCTTTAATTTCTTTTTAAAATTTATTTTTAGCCACATGTAGCTACTGAGCACCTGTGACTGGTCTGAACTGATAGGTGGTATGAGTGTAAAACGTACACTGGATTTCAAAATTTAGTTTGAAAAAGGAATGTACAATACCTTAGTACTTTTTACTAACTACATGTTAAGATGTTAATATTTTTGCATATGCAGTTGACCCTTCAACAACACAAATTTGAACTGCATGGGTCCGTTTATATGTGAATTTTTTTCAATAAATATACTGTCACTCTCTGAATCATGGGTTTTGCATTCTCAGATTCAAACAACCGAGGACAGAAAACAGTATTTTCAATCCATAGTTTGGAATCTGCAGTTTGGGAGGATAGGGGGTCCTAGATCCAACCCCCAAGGATCAAAAGTTATTCATAGATTTTGAACTGCTCAGGGGTCGGCACAACTAACTCCTGCAATGTTCAAGGGCCAACTGTACTAGATTAAATAAATATATTACAATTATTTGCACCTGTTTCTTGTTACTTTTTAAAAATATGGCTATAAGAAAAATTGTAATTATATGTGACTGGTATTATATATCTACTGAGCAGCATGGGTCTACTGTTTCCTCTTTACAAAGCATCTCTGATAAGTTTTCATATCAAGGTTGGATTTATTCCAAAGAATCAATTAAGTTGTGTAGGATCTCCTACAATCTGGAACATTTGCTATAAAATATGCTTATATGGGCTTTGAAAGCTTGATAGGATTCATCCAGATCCAACTCCCCCTCCCTCGCTTTAGAGAATTTCCTAAGGTACAAGTCTGCTCTGATATTCCCTTTCAAAGGATAAAGCCTTACATGCCAGGCACTGTCAGAATTAGAGAACCCATATGAACTATGGACCCCTTCCCCAGCAGAAACGTGTATACTCGTTTTCACAAAATGTTCTTTTTCAGTCGTCGACGAGTATACTAAGAAAATATGGTAAAAAAATATGATTTATAGGAAGACGAGTTACAAACTGTTTTCATAACCAGCATCAAAAATACTATATAGAACCAAAATAAAAAAATTAGTCTGAAAAAGAAACGTTTTTAACAAAAAAATTGTTGGGGAAGGGGTTAAATCAAAGAACTACTGATAGCACTTCAGATCTTAGTGTAAAGGGCTATAGTATAAATACAACAAGTAGCTTTTCCTTTATTTTGGAAGCAATGTGAAGGTTCTCCTTTCTACCCTAAGGTATATGGCCAGCACACCTTTTTGTACACGCGAATAACTATGAGTAGGAAATGTTCGTGCTGCTCCTCTGCTCATTAGAAAAATGTACCCTACCTTTTCAGTCTAAGACCCAAACTCAACTCATCAGATCCCAGATGACACATCAGCTTTTGTCAATAACAAGCCTGTTTACAGAGAAGTGAGAGAGGTGTGCATGGAGGATACCGAGGGAAAGATGAGCTTGCATGGCCCTCTGACACCTGAGGTTCGCTGCCCAATAGGCTGGCGGGTGTGGGCAGGTGAGCCCACACAGGAGGACCTATCACGTCCCAGGGCATGAATATGTTTCTGCCGCTTGTATTCCCAAAGCTAATATACCCCAAGTCCTCTCCTTACATCTAAAGTTGAAAACAACCTGGCCTACCTGGGTTCCAATACCAGTTCTACACTTACTACCTGAATGACCTCGAACATATTACGTAATCACTCAGTAACTCAATTTCTTCACTTGTAAGATGAGGAAAATAAAAAAACATATTCTAGAGTTTGAGAATGAAATGAGATAGAGCAGGCAAAGCTACCAGTGAAGTGCCTGGCACTCAGTAAGCATCCGATAAACATACACCGCGCAAATAAGTGTATGGGCATTAGTTCCATCAAAGGTTGACTGTAAAATCGCTAATCACCCAAGTCTCATCTACTAATGAGTGGCTTGTTAACCACAGGACCAGCCATTATTAATTAAGGAATAGCAAAGTATGCATTCATTAACACATAAACCAAAACTGGGCTATTCTGACACTGCTGAATGACTCCATCACCATCAAAGACTGAAGAAATCCAGGTTGTACTTGAGACCTCATCCTAGAGACAGTCCTTGGGGAAGGCTTTCCAGGGGGTGCACAAGAGGTTCGCTCCCTTTGCGGGAGCCCTCCGTTCATCGCCGGTTATGCACCTGCCTGTGATTCTCCATTCCCAGGGTCAACCTGTCCCAGCTCGGCCCAATGCTGGACCATCAAGGTGGCCTGTGGCAGGTTCCAGGTGAGGAGGCAGCCCCACATCTGCTCCCTGCTCCTCCTAGCCTTCCCTGCCGAGGTAGAGCCTCTGCCTGCTCCTTAAGAAACCCGTCTGTTTCTCATCTGGAAATCTCTACTCACCCACCTCTATAACGCTGTGTTTCATGAAAAGAAAAAGGAAAAGTCCAAATACTATTCTCACCCAGGAAAGGGAAAGGAGGAGGATTATAGATAGAAGTACAAACCATTGCAAAGTCTCAAAAATGGTGCAGTGCTTACTTTTAAGGACAAGGGATAGGGAAGAAGCTGTAGTCGTTTCTGCAGTCCTGTCTTACCGGTAGCTCCTCCTGTATCTGGTGGTCTCTTGCCACCGTTTGTACCAGAAAAGAAATGCCAGGAAGAATATGGGAGGGTGGGGAAAAGGAGGCAGGCGAGAGGACACATGGGAATGCAGGACGAGAGAGATAGCGTGGGATTTACTCGAGTAGGAGCAACCTCCTCCTGCCTCTACTTTTTCTCTTCCACAGTCTCTCGCCCAGCTAACCCCACTCCTTTCCCAGTCAAGCTCTTTTCCAAGGATACACTGGAATTTTTACTCCCCGGCCAGGAGCTGTGCAAGGGGAGGAACCCGATCCCACTGCCAGAGCCACACCAGGAGAAAGTATTTTCCTGGCAAATCTGAACGGCCTTGGAAATCCGAGTTCAGTTCTCCAGAGAACAGTAGTGTATACAGCATCAAGGGACCACAAATACAGGAGGTACGAAGACACAGGCTTTTCGGAAGCTGGTCTGCAAAAATTTCAGAGTGCACTGAACATTTTTCATTGTTGAAAAAAACGGTAAGTATTCTGGGATTCTAAAGCTCAAGTAAACTTCTGAGTGGTAAGCATATTAGTGGTGAGCATAAACTGTAAATACATTCTTGTGTATTAACAGGTAAATACAGTTATAAATAAGAGTCAAAGAACTTGAAGTGGGCTGAGAAACACTCTTCCCTCACCCAGGCGAACTTAATTAACCACGAATGGTATATGTACATGAGGAGTCCCAAGGGACAAGTCCTGGACACTTCAAGGAAGAAACAATACCTGAGGGACGTAGCACTTAGAGGTAGCTTTTTAATGAAATGAGACTTCAACTCAAAATACTACGTGTTCTCCAAAATAATAGGAAAGCTTTATGTTTTCCGACAGAGAAGAAAATTCTCTGCTTCACCCCTTACTTCTATAAAATATAAGAAGATATTTACGCCCTAACCTGTTTGGCTCAGTGGGTAGAGCATCGGCCTGGAACTGAAGGGTCCCAGGTTCGATTCCAGTCAAGGGCATGTACCTGGGTTGCGGGCACATCCCCAGTGGGGAGTGTGCAGGAGGCAGCTAATCGATGTTTCTCTCTCATCGATGTTTCTAACTCTCTATCCCTCTCCCTTCCGCTCTGTAAAAAATCAATAAAATATATTCTAAAAAAGATGTTTACTATTTTACTTATCATTTCATTCCTTTTGTTGTTGCTGCATTAAAATCAGTAAATAATCTAAAATCAGCATTTAGTTTTCAAGACCTGATACTTGTTCAATTATAAGTTTTTCTTTCTTTAGGGGAAAAAATACGTTAGGGTAATTGTTTTCTTCAGATTATTTTTCTCTAGGTTTTCTTTTTTTCTTTTAATCAGTTTTCTTTCTAATATTTTTATATCAAATAGTTGGTTCATCGTGTCACTATAAACCATAAACATTATGCAAAACAGTTACTTGATCTTCTCTGGGGCTAAAAGTGCTTTCAACTTTTCTCATGAATCGTTTGACATAAAGTGGTAGTACTTACAAGTATAGTCACCCATCCACCATACCATGGCAGAAAGTGCAGGAAGGAACAGCCAAGGTTACCAATGCCTACAGTTTGGTGCTAGCCACTAAGGCTGTTGTAATTTTAATTGTAAGCCCCGATTACCTTTGTCTGCTCGCTGTCTGGGTCTTCAAGCCAAGCATAAGGGTCAGAAATTTTATGCCCATGATAATCCTGCACCTGCAAAAGACAAAATGCGTTAGTAGATAATTAGTGTCTATCCCCAACTAAATTAGTATTTTCTGAATGTGATGGAGAGAGAGACAAAAACACCCTGATTGGCTCACTGGCAACTGCCTGTGCCCAAATTGCCACATGAATCAGAGTTGGCACGTTCTCAAAGGTGTCAAGCCACCCTTCATGAAAGGAATGTTTTACTGGAGAGGGAAGAAAGACGAAAGGTCAGGACAGGAAGCAGCTCTGTCTGTACAACACCAACCCAAGGCTGCTGCCGTGCTAAAGAAACCCGAGACGCGCTGTCAGGGGCACAGCACAGAATTACACAAAGCAGCGGGGATGACGGAGGGCACGGCCAGGTGCCTATTTTCCTCTTCTCCCTAAGCCTGCTCACGGTTAGAAAATCCCCCTACAATATGTAATATGATCGGTTTTGCTTTGCTGTCTGAACTGCCAACAAGAAACTTACTAATGTGTAGCTATAATGACTCTAATTGACATCAGCTGATTCTCATTGAAAAGGCTGACTTAAAGGCAATGAAGGAGCACTTCCAAACTGAAGCCTTTCTTCCCTTTTGTGTATTGTTATGAAATGCTTTCTTTCACTGTTCATAAAAGGAGGCACAACTACTCTGATAGAAATAAAACTGCTTAGTGTAAGCCGGCCTGGCTGAGGGTGGTGTCTGTGAAGCCCAGATTTCTGGGCCTGGATTCAGAGACTGTCCAAGACTAGAGCAGCCATCTGGAGTCACCCCTCCTCAGGGGATAACGCCTAAAGACATTTTGCAAAGGTAAAAATCATTATAAAACCTCCCACATCAGACGATCCTGGTTAATCTAGATAACCGAATCGCCATTGACAACATCTTTCCAATCAAGTCTCTCTGAACAACTCCAACATTCCAGTTAAGGCTTCTCCTAGAAGGCTGTCCGGAAGACCCCCACCATCTCAGATGAATCTTTAACCGGTCTTCTTACTCCCTTTTATCACACCAGATGGTAGGGGCTATTCCCTAAGGCAGTGGTCGGCAAACTGCGGCCCCTTGAGTGTGGCTCTTCCACAAAATACCACGTGCGGGCGCGCACGTACAGTGCGATTGAAACTTCGTGGCCACACTCAAGGGGCCAAAGAGCCGCATGTAGCTCGCGAGCCGCAGTTTGCCGACCACTGCCCTAAGGAAAGCAGACACCCTCCTGGAGGACAACAACCTGCTGTTTCTACTTCTGGTCAAAGTTCCAGTGCAGCTGCTGCCAACTGAGAAGGATATCCCTGCGCATAAAAGCCCAGGCCACCAGGATGCAAAGGGTGTGCACCTGTCCTCCTCCGCTGGGAAGGGGGGACACACCTGGGGAAATGACACCTGGAAGGATGGGCAGGTAAGGTGGAACACCCGGGACTTGCTCTCATCAAGCCTTGACTGACCAGTGCGAGGGACATAAAACCAGACTGAAACCTCTCCTGATGAGTCTTCATAAAATTGCCCATTTTTGGGGGGAAAACACACACACCAATGTTCAATCCTTACCTAAGGCCGCGACATTTTAGCTGTCACAACTGAATGAAAGCTATTAATCTTCTCATCCTCAAGTCTTTCACATTTTACACACCGTGAAGTGGTTATAAATGATGCTTAAAACAACAACCTTCCTTTCCCTGACAATAAAAAACCAGATAAAGAATCCTGTAGAGCAGTGGTTCTCAACCTTCCTAATGCCGCGACCCTTTAATACAGTTTCTCATGTTGTGGTGACCCCCAATTTCATTGTTACAAATTGAATATAATTAAAGCATAGTGATTAATCACAAAAACAATATGTAATTATGTATGTATTTCCGATGGTCTTAGGCGACCCCTGTGAAAGGGTCGTTCGACCCCCAAAGGGGTCGCGACCCACAGGTTGAGGACCGCTGCTATAAAGGATCTTCCAATTCAACATTTTTAGGAGTGAGGCAGGCAGGAACAAGGTTGGGCGACAAGCCCAGGGCCATACCGAGTTCAGAACCAGAGCTGGGACTAAAAACAATCTGCCAACAGCTTTCCTCCAAATACTCCTCGGACGGAACAGATCAGACACGTGAAATGTGTTCCTAAAACTCTGACACGTCCAGAGACTTAACTTTTCAAAAGGGTAGTTTTCAAAACTGTGATAGTTTTATGACTAAGTGAAGGTGTTGCCAAGTGCTAAACCCAAAGCAATAAACCTGTACTGGATATCCACACTGTTGTGCCCAATGTTTTAAATATTCCTATTTTACAGATTATGGGATGCAATTCCGAGAGCTTAGTAAGAGTAAAGGCCACATATTTGCTGTGAGCTCACGACTGCGCCATAGACGACAACCACATTATCTCATTTGTCCTCACTGTGAGGACACATTTTCCCAGGCGAGGAAACGGAAGCTGGAGAGAGCTACAGCAATTGATTAAGGTCAGATGGCTAATAAGGTAGGACTGTGACCCATTCCGAGCCAACCCAAAAGCCTGTGTGCTTAACCTCTTGCCAATGAGCTGGGTCAGGTGCAAACTGGCAGGTGGACAGCTGGACCTTGACTCAGAACCCAATGTGTCCTACAGCATGCTGCCTCTTGAACAGCCTTTACCACCAGGAAGCAGCCTCATCTACTCAGACTCAGTGTTGTCTGAACCAGACTGAGGTCAGTTATTGAGCCGACATTAGCAACCAGGAAGAGAACGCCCCAAAACAATCCCAGCGACAAACCCAGCAGCCAAGCGCCCCCTCCGCCTTTTGCTTTCACCACACAATATCCTAAATAGTGCAGATAGCCACAGCCCCTAAATTCAAGTGATGCAGCATCTAATTCCTCATTTAAGTTTGCAAATCATTCCTCACCTCCCCAAGAGCTCGAAAAAGAGAGCCCAGACAGGCCACTGTTACTATTCAATGTTTTGCTCTTACAGTTCAACAACATGCCTGTTGCCTTCAGGATAAAATGTAGACTCCTGTACACACAACAGGCAGAGCCCATGAAACCTGCCCCGCTCTTACTTCTCAACCCCCATCCAAGCTCGTCCATCCATGGATGCTCTGTTCACAGTGGCCTTCCTGCCATCCTACAAACATGCCATTTCATGACCATTCAGCCCCACATAACTATGGTTTATTTTAGTCATAAAGCTAGGAATGTCCTTTCTACCTCATTCAACTGGCCAACTTCCAGGCTCAACTCACATATTATCTTCTGCTCCTAATGAAATTACTCCCATCCTCCTGTGTTCCCCACTCACCCTACACACCCTTCTAACGCCTGTACCAAGCCTGTACCACGGATTGGGCAATGGCTTTACCCAGGAAGTGTTATGGTTTTCACATTTCTGCTCATGAGCAGAAATCCACCAAAAAGGACTGCACACTCCAACCCACAGGGCAGCAGGAGACTGCCCAGCATGTGGCTGAAAGATGTTCAAGGGAGAGAGACAGAGAGCTACAGCAGTTCCTAGTACCTGCCGGACAGAAATAAACCCCTCCTAGAAGTCGAGGCTATAACTTGGGGAAATGCTAAGTCCAGCCGAGAGCTTAGTAATCAGGACTCGTCACAGGAACAAGATACCCCACGTAGACTATCAGGGCTGGGCTGAGTACCCTGTGAGATGGGCCCAGGCTGGACCACAGCCACTTTCCCTTGGCCATGAGGCTTAGGCTTATGAGTGTCTTGGTGAGAAGGAACGGGAGAGTATTAAAATCCATGCTACAGTATACATATACTCTTTTGAATTAATTATTCATAATCTATTTGGTGTCTTCATGAAACCCTCACTTAACCCTTTCGAGAACTATTAAACATAAATAAATAAAACGGAGGATTCTGGTAACACGAATAAGGAAAAATGAGGAACAACCCTCCCTCCCTCAAAAAAACCCCACCACACAAAACAGTACAGATCTGAAAGGCACTTATCAAACCACATAATGGGCAATTGTTTACGTTTTTATCAATCCTGAAAATTCAAAGATCCTCAAGACCCGAACTGAGATATTCCCATGTCTTCCCATTACTGAAGTCTAGCACGCTGCAGGGCTAGACTGTCATGTGAATGAATGAAAGGTGATATTCTTACTGTAGAAACAAGCCAGCCCTAAATATTCCACTTATGAGAAAGAAGACCTGTAACAGGTAAACGACCTGCCACAGGGCATCCTGCCGGTGAGTGACAAAACCAGAACTAGCACTCAGGTCGTCCCACTCGCTCTGGCATCTTCCCATTCCAGCAGGATCACTTTACTCCCAAACACAAAGGAAACCACCTTTTGAACCACCGGAACAGGGCTTCTGGGGTTGTTAGAGTAAATTTAATAAGCAAGCAGCTGAACAGACTGAGAAAACATGGTTACCAGATGGCCACTGGTCAAAGAAACCATGAATGCATCAGTGCCACTTGGAAGTCTTAATTTAAAACAATACGTCCTTTACGCTAAAGCCGCAGTACCCTTTAACCTAAAGTGAGATGTGCTTTAAACTACAATCTGGCATAAATTGGGTCCAAGAGAGCAGAAGGAAATAGAACTGTATTACACAAAAATAGCTTTAATCTGATTCTATTTTAAGTAATCTGAGAAATCTGGCTACTCCTAAGAGAATCATGCCTACAACATTTGGACGCTCTACAGTTCTTAAGATGCCAAATTAATTTTTGCTCACACATAAAGGGCTGTTTGCCCCCCAATTCCGCCCACCGGATCTCAACAGCCACCCTGAGTTCATCTACAGCTGAGGTTCATGGTGGCTAACCCTTCCACGAAGCAAAACTTAAACTCATCCTGAAAAGAGGCCATCCCCTCTTCCTTCTAGGTCCTCCTCTCACACCCTATCAACTCCCTTTCTAGTTTAGGACAACTTGGATCAGCACTGCTACACCGCGGGGTCCCTGTCCGCCTTCGCGTTACCCAGTCCTGTCTCTGCATCTCCAACGCCCAGCAGCCGGCCTGGGGCAGGGTAAGCGCTCAGTACACGTTGTAAAACCGAATGAATGAACTTCAACTCTACGAATTCTTCATTTGGAAGTTTAGAAAGTTTGCTTTGTGTTTCAATTCTACATCATCTATACACTTACACTCTTGCTCCTGCTACCATATTTGCGCACGAGCTTCCCCAGTCAAAAAGCAGTGACACCTCTTACCTGGGCATCTGCCCTTGACCCCATTGATTTCGGGGAGTCTCCCAGCAGCGGCCGATGCCGGGCGGCACCGCCAGCAGGCGGAGAGTGCCCACCCTCCACCCCCGACCCCACC